CCAAACCAACGACGGGCATCTGGCACGCCCCAGCGGAGGAATGAGGATTAATTTCGACCACCTGGTGATCTTTTGACGTGACGCTAGTTTTGAAGGCTTTGTTACGCGGAATGGTGGGGGCCCACTCCGGATAAAATACTGTTACTGCCAAACGTGTTGGACGTCCAGTGAGAGCTCAGCGTAATTTTAGACGCTTCTAATGAAGACATTTCGATTTGCTTATTTCATGACACGGGCAAGCTTGCCAGCTCAGCCGTGGGTGCTTTGGCACGTATAATTTTTGAATGAGCGTGAGATAACTTCACGGGTTCTAATTTCTGTACTGAAATACATGAATCAATGATAGAAAGATATCATTAGGAATTCAAAATCAAGCGGCAATTATATGCGTCATAATCCTTACTTTTTCGTGTTTCTACCATAGACTTGCGTGTATTACCTGGTGCCAAGCTTTCACCCCGGTGTTGCCACTGGCGGGCTCCTGTTCCGAGATCCAACCTACTTAAATAAAGATCAGTGTCAATGTCGACCATCCAGATGACGGCCATCTTTATAGGTGTAAGAACGCTTCCTATATGCCTTGAAAGTAGCGAGTTACATCCGTGCGATAAACGCTGTCGAAATTTATGGAAGAACGGCGTCCCACTACCAACCGCGTTCCGTCCCTCAATGAAGACGTTCTAGAGATAAAGAAAACGATCTTCGAGTATTAAAATGTCTGCGATCGATGTTTCTTAATGGCTTGTAAAGCGGGACTAAGTTATTACTATTTACACCGTCTCCAAATATGAAGAACATATACTACACGCTTCTGGTGTCGCCATTCTCTGGCATGATGTTCGCATCTTGAAATATTGCACATGCTTGTGTGCCTTGAAGGCTGACTTGCGCCAAGGGAACGAATCGTCGTGACCGGCCTTGTGATCGCTGAGGCCATTGGAAGGTACATTTAAAAATTAATTAAATTCTTTTTTTAATTTTACTTTATAGGTGCACTTTGTAAAGTGATTTTATGTTTGCCTTTCGCAGCGGCACAGTGACGTTCGACGACCTGATGAAATCTGCCACGAAAGCAGATCATGCCGCCATGCAATCCATCTCATCGAAGTTGCAGTTCGACGCAGCAGTGAACGTGCAGTTTACGTCCGTAAGCGCATGGTTGTTTAATTTATGTCATTGACGAACCCCGCGCTCATCCCTTTTAGGGCTAACATTATCTGCTTTCTCTCTTTCAGCATCTGTTTTTATATTGTTTGGTGCTGAGTAGAGCACATCATTGTACTTACGTCGCTGTCAAATAAGGGTGACATCGCGAATTTTTTTTTTCTAGTTCTGTTTTTTTTTTTTTTGTCATGCTTTAGCGTACATAGTGCTCGATAGTCATATAGCTGCTAAGGGTTGTTATAAAGCACCGTTAAAAAGCAACACCTTGGGTGGCGGCAATAATTGGCACCCAGTTCTTTAGGGTTCACTGCATGACTGATTGATCGAGGGACCCCTAAGAAAAAAAACTGGTGCAGAGCAATGACGTCCGGCCAATTTTACCACCTAACTATTTGTAATTATTTGTATATTTTACTGATATTTTTCTTCTTTTTCACAAAGTGCATTCACTTTGGTCTCCTTTATCGCCAGGCTTTGTGGCTATGTGCGTAGCGCATTCACATTCACATTCATTTTTTTTTTTTTTTTTACGGCCTAAAGTTTGTTGATAGTTTGTTTTGCGCACAGCAGTTGTGGCACTCAAAGAAACCAAGAAAACCCCCACCTTGAAATAGAGGGTCATTCACCGCAGTTTGGATTTACTGCAAAACCCTAAATCAGGAAGGGTTCAGCTATTTTCCTTCATTGAGAGCACGTGTGGCAGTCATGTGTGGAAAACCTTCCCGGCTGCGGGTGTCGTAGCTCCACCTCCCTTTTAGCAGATGTTATGCCTCGTTCACACTTGCAAAAAATGCTTTCGCCGCGGTGAAAATAACTGCGCCGTTCACATTTGTTGCCGCTGATACAAAGAAACTTCACGCTGCAGTATCTCACAGTTTCGCAAATGCGAGGGCTCTTCCTGCTAACACGTGCCATTCATTACACTGCGCTACGTCGTACGTCTTTCAATAACTGCTACCTACGGGTGAAGTGAGCGTTAAAACTGCCAATGACATGAAGCGAAAGTAAGAGCTGTACAAAGCAATATCTCTCCCGTGCGTTGTTGGAAAAAGTGCTTTCGCAGGCTTAATTCCTTCTGCATTCAATGTTCAACTGCTACGTGAGAACAATAGCTAACACCCTGCAGTGCCGAGACAGTGTCATATGTCATCTTGACGATACGAGAACGCGGTAAAACGTCGAAGGGCACTTAAGCTTTGCCATTATGAGTGGAACATGATAACGTTAATGAATCCTCTGCACTCCTAGCCGTGGTCTTCACCTTCCCGGCTTCAGTCTTACGTGGCCGACCCCGTCGCTGAGAAGGAGCAGACGTAGATGCTTCATCCGCACTCGTAGAACACGGCGCCCCGGAAGAGCGCCCGCACTGGTAGACAGACGGCATCGCATTCATCGCACACGACTCTCTCCCGGCGGCCTAAAGGAGGCCCCGCGGCGGAGTACTCAATCTCCACAGACGAATGATGACGGCAGGATCGCAGTCCCACTGGGAGGACTCGGCGACAAACGTAAACTTTCCGCTCCTCCGCGACGCGTGGAAACTGTACGCTCCTCCAGACAGACGAGCCTAAGTAATGTGGCTGTGACGTTATGACCGGACCAATAATGATTTTCGCATCACGCCAGCTTTTCTGGCTCGGCACCGAGGCCGGCGCTGCACGAGCTTCTCAACGTTATTGCGTTAATAAAACAACGATCAGACGAGAGACAAAACGTGGCTCACGCCTAACTCTGCGCCCATTTTATTATCTAGATTTTCGTTGTAGGCGCTGTCTTCGTTGAGCGCAGCTAATCACAAAGGGTTTGATTTTTCTTTTGTTTCGATGACCCTTTTTTCCGACATATCGAGAGCTACGAGACGGCGATATTTGCACGACTTGAAAGCTCCTGCAACTCCAGTGGTCATTCCGGAAACTCGGATGACTCGGCAGTGATGTGACCTAGCAAACGTCATACCTTCCATGTGTTCTAATCGGCTGTAGAGGCGCGGAAATTTGTTTCGCGCATGAAAGTTGGTCTTTGAATGATTGCTAACCACCAGCGAGCAGATTTTGCAACCCGAGATGATATTTCGTGCGGATCCAGCCGCCGAACCGCAAGTGTGAACGAAGCATTACGGCCAATGTGCGGATCAATGAAGTGCCTCTAGACTATTGCTCTCCGCAAATACACCACTCAATGAGTACAAGACAACTTTATGCAGCATGAAGGACGATGTGTGGATACAGACAAAAATCCTTTGGTAAGATGTGACGGTGCCTTCATTACCCGACATGTTAGACAGCAGCGAAATACATTTAATGTATCCGAGTTAAAAATGTAAAGCTTGGTGTAGCAATCAGGAGAGGTAGCTGGTATCTTACTATTTGTGATATGTAGTTCTGACGTTTTCGGAAGTCGTCCAGCGATCTTTCAAAAGCATATTGTAAAAATTTTCTTCTGGATAAACCCGCCGAGTGTTAAAAAATGCATGGATTTTCCGACTAAAAGTAATCTCAGTAGGTGCTACTATGAAAAGGGGGTAATAAGCGGTGCATCGAAGCAGATGTGGAAGTGATAAAACGACGTGTTTGCCGACGGAAAATTCTTGCCAGATCTAGGATACCGTGTTTTCGGAGTTTATTTCTCGTAAAATTGGGAGGCTGTCTTTGCAATTTTTTTTTCCCAAAAGGCGGAGTTTTTTTTATTTATTTATTTATTTAACATACCTCAAGTCACGTTGTTAGGACAATACATGAAGAGGGATACAAAATTCGATGACACAAATACGACATGCAATTACTCACCCATTACACAAAAAATAGTCCTATAAATACGGAACAGAAAATGTTTAAACCATTAGCAATGCCGATATTATTTATGTATGATGGTTTCCCGATTCTCCGAAATTCGAAGTTTAATTTTTCTGTGTACGCGTTGTTCGTTTTTTTTTTTTGTTTTTTTTATTAATCTTTAATAAAAATAAATATTATCCGGACAAAAATCTGCCCCAAATTCGTAAAAACCGACCTTTAAATGATATTTCTTCAGCTGGATTGGGCATTTGCGCCCTTTCCATTGGTAATACAATTTGGCTTGCAACAAAACTTGTTAAATGCAATGATTTTAGAAACTTCATTATTACAACTACAAAAAAAACTAAAATTTTTGATGTAGTTTCTGGAAATCTCGTTTTTTCCGCCATCTTGTACATATCTTGCACTGTCAGTACTTGGTCAGACATATTGGGAGAAAGGGTGCGAGAGAGCGTAGCTTCAGCTGCGTTAGCGAGGCGCTTCTGACCACCATGACGGACAGACGTCACGTGCAAGACGTGTATTGCACCGCTCCACCCTGTGGCTGCGTGGGGTGGAGTGCTGAGATAGGGCCTTTGGCTGCTCATCTCCTCCCCCCTCCCCCCCTTCCCCTTTCTATGATCATATATTTCACTCCTATAAAAGCACAACCTCGCCTTCCTCTAAATTTCCAAACTGAAAACAAGAACAGTGGCTTTTGCCATGATCCAAAAGCACCCGTTATCCTGGAAAAAGGCTTAACGAGTGCAACGGTAAACCCCTTTTGTCGCTAGTCCGAGATTTGAAAGGAAACTGGAGGGATGCCTGTCCTCGGGACCACACGCCCTTTGCTCTGCCCAAGCTTATTCGTAGTATTGTTTCTTCGTTACTTTTTTTTGCTAATATGATATTGAAAATTTCTGGTTTTTCCGATAAATACTAGTTAACAAATATTTTACCGTGGAGTGTGTCTTTTTCAACGGATTTTATCGGATTTATTAAAAAAACGCGGTACCCTACTTTTAACCTATGCAGGGTACGACTGCGCGACCCAAGGCAGCCATGTTGTCTCATTTTAATTTGGTGAACAACGCCAACTTGATCGGCCGTATGTTTGGACTCCATGAGCAAGTACGATGCATTTCTCATTATAGGAATGTCATGCTCTTAATGTGAGCACCTGTCAAAAGCACGACCTGTCTAGTGTACAACATGTCCTCCGTCTTCAGAACGATTCGATCTGCCTCACCGTTCCCCTGGTCCACTGCTACGGATGTGTGGGAGGTTCGCTGACAGCAGCCATGTTCGGGGCCACCCTTGTGATGCCGTCACCAAGCTTCAAAGCAAAGGCCGCTCTTGAGGCAATCGCAGAGCAACGGTAACACGCTTTGATTATGACCAAAATGTAGCCCCATCTTTTTAGACATTGCGTTGCCTTTTTTGCGCGACAATTAGGCTTGATGTATCTGCGGTGTGAGCTGCCGGCACACGTAGGTACAAAGAATGTCTGTCTTTCACGTGACTTTTTTTCTATGACTTCCAAGTCGCAGCACAAACTCTCGAGGTAGTGAATTAAAAACCCTGCCAACTTCGTTTGAGACTATAGACGAGACGGAAACCAAAATGCTTTCACTGCAATGTAAAAATGTTTTCTGCATTAAAAAAAAATCTGGTAGTCGAAGAAACGGTACGAAATGTGGACGTGGCAACGCTGCCACCGTGTCGTGTGCCTCTACAGGCTATACTCCGGCGTTGAGCGCAGCGAACGCAGCGTAGCGCAGAATGTGCGCCTTTCATTGGCCGGCGAGCAGGTACTCAATATCTGCAACTAGTCAGCATCTGTGTGCTCTGCGCTACGCCGCGTTTGCTATCTTCAACGTCGGAGTATAGCAGGTCCTTAAGACTGAGGCTGGACTAAGCGCCCGCTGCGTTCCTCCTAAAACTTTAGTCCCGCATATGACGGTTTGATCGATAAACCGAAATACAGCGGCAATTTTTCGTCAGTAAACCATGCACCGTTCCCGAAATCTAACGTCGCGTGACTATAAACGCTTCTTTAAGGGCGCCGCCATCATGAGAATTACTCCGCCGACAATGGCATCTAGCGGCTTGACTCACTGTTCAATTGGTCGGACATCCAGCTCCGATTTCTCTTCAATGACTGGTCGTTTCGGAGGCGTGGAAGCGGTCGGCGGAGAGTAGAGAGCCTCGTTACCGGTGCCACGGCTTCGCTCAAAATCGTATTTTTTTAAATGCTTTTCGCAGACACAGACATTCACTAAGTATGGGCGGGCGGTCACAAGTTCTAAATCATAGAAACCAAATCTCGTTTCGCCAAGGCTTCTTTTAAAATTAGCTACTCGAGTGATGCTCCATCAAAGGCTTGTGGCAGCTATAGTTGAAGGGGGAACTAAGCATTTAATACGAGAGTAACTCCAGTGGGAGCAACAAAATCTCCAAGGGACGAACTGCTCGAGTTACCCCTTCTGAATAGAGGGCACTAGGGCCCTGAAAAGAAACGACAGCAATTAATCCCTTAACGCACCGTTTTTTTCTTCTTTTTTTTTCTTTTTTGCGAGTGTGGGTGGGCAACGGAGTGTGTATGGGGGAAACTTTGCTCGATCTGGATATGGATGTATCGTTGGACATTGACAGTGAATATAACTGACTAATGACAGACCATCACCTCGCCTCTTCGAATGGACGAGGACGAAGACGGTGGAGTGCTTTGATTTAGTTGCCACAAAGAAATAATACATTAGCAGTTTAATGTAGTCTATGCAGGTAAACTTTCGGCATTTGATAGCTTCATCTTGAATGGTGACACGTGGACCTTTTCATACCCTTCACATGCCATAGTGCAATAGCAAATGTTTCTTCGATAGCATAATGGGTGCACCGGCACCGGGTTGGAATCGGTCCGCTTGTCTTAGACGAAGTTGTCGTGAACATTTACGCGACGATGAGTCTGATGCAAAGTCCTCGCTATATAAGCTCGCAATCGACTGACTCGATAAATAAGAATCCTTGGGGAACATGTGAAGCTAAATTACGTTGCAGCCACACTCGCCCTGCAGCACCTTGTGCTTATCACACACCTCCCGCGATTGTTCTTATGCTTATTAAAATTAAAATTAAAAATAAACACTCGGAACAAACTTACGCACGACGTGTGTCTCTAAGGCTCTTCGCCCACACCCTTGGTGGTTGCATACCTTGTGTCAGCGGGCAGTACAAAAATACAGCGGGTCGAAAGTTCATCAGTGGCGAGCTTGTATAACGTTGTGCGAAAAAGGTCTAGTGTGTCCAGACCCGTGGTGTTTGTTGAAGACAGCACGCTTGTTAATATGATGTGTGACTGCAATCCTTCTCCATTTTCTCGAATGTGTCATCTTTGTTGCAGGTGCACGTTTATCTATGGAACGCCCACAATGTACATAGACATGATTAAGGAGCAACAAGAAGGGAAGTACGACGTTTCGTCTGTTCGGAAAGGTACGACAGTTCCATTTCTAAATTTATAACCAATGAAGAGCTCTATACTCCAACTTCACCAAGTACCGCTATCGTTTGATCGTGCAGCGGGCGCCCATGATGAAGGGCAACTCCCATTCATTTTGTTTTCTTCTCAATTTCGTGGTTATGGCAGCATTTCTGAATTCCGACCTATAAATGTGGTAGTATATAGTTTTGTTATATATCTTCCTTATATTTATAATTTATTTACCGCATTTAAATAGTTTGGTGGGTCACGGAGTATTAAAGTAAGGGAAGTACTGGCCAACGTTATTATATCAACTCAGTAACGACTGCCCAAGGCGCCGCTTCTTCGTTCAGTACACTATACCCCCCCCCCCCCCCCCCCCTCAAGTTCCGTCTTCCGTCGCTGGACTCCACCGTTTCTCGTGGGAACGGCCGCTATGGTAACTACAGTTGCGCAGGTTTTATCACAGCGTCTAGATGGCCCTTCACCGTAGCATCTTCCAGGCGTCTCCGAAGAATACAGTTTTGAAATTCAGCCTCTATAGGTGGCGCTTCTTCAAACAGCGGGTGACGGGCTCGAGGGGGAGAGGTGGGAGGGGAGTACCTTTTTCCACGGGAGTGCCACACAGTATTACCACATAGCGTTACAAACTGAAGGGACATGTGTCTAAACGTAGGGACTTCTCGCAATATTTTGGCTCGCTAGGGACGTACGGACGCCCCGTTATTTTTACTGGAAAATGTAAAACCATTTACAGTTACTCGATTTTTTTTCCTCATCGCAGTTACTGCGGCGCGCTTTTACATCCAGATCGGTAGACATATTCCTGATTTTCTAGACGGTATCGTCAAATTTGTTATCACGTTCCTATCAAAACTCTCACGAAGTCGTGTTACTACACTCTAAACTAGAGAGCTGAAAATATACGGTGCTTGGAGCGCGTCTCCGAGTGGTCTGTTTAGCACCCTATACCACCCCATGCATCGAAAGTGGTTCTGAAAAGTGGCAAAAAATGACGTCACAAAAGTCAGAGTGTCACGTTGCCAGACGTTGCAATCCTGGCGGTGGGCCGTAGAAATACCGGCGAAAAACCCGAGCGAACGCCAGTGTCGCTGTCGTCGCGACGTCCCAACTCCTGGCTGCCGAAGCTTTCGTGGAGCTGTCACGCTGGAAAAGTGACCTGCCGCAGAACGGGCGTCGGTCACATACCCCACCGTTGCTGTGACGCCGCCAGGATCGCGGCCGGCGCCAGCGTGACACTTGAATGACATCATCGGGCGGATATCGAGGTACCACTCGTTTGGACAGGGTAAACACACAGGTCGCGAGATGCGTTCCAGGCACCATACTGAAACCGAATCGTCTTCTACGCAAGCGTATTGCTTGAGACGCGGTCTAAGAAAAAAAGAGACCATTGTGGCATCGCATGTCAGATGGACACCTGGCGCAACTTGCAAACGGAAATATCGGAGTCAACCGCGCTGCCGTTTGTGTATTACTTTTTCTACCTTTTTCGTGTTAGGCCTATAAAAACAAAAAGCCGCCGGTCTGCTTTCTTCGTGACGTCTGCGCTGAGCTAGAGTGCACCCGAAGTTTGATAGTTTATAGATAATACCCGTACCTGCATTATTTTTGTTTCCAGTTACTTAGGATTTTTTTTTTTTTTTTTACGTACGTACGAAAGCTAGAACTTGCGAGCACTTAACAACTTCTTATAAAAAAAAAGTGATTTACAGGTACTGGGAACTCGTTGAGATGGGTTCAGGAGCAGAACTATTCTAAACGCAGAACAATTGGAACACAAAATAATAATAGTAATCAAGCATAATACGTAGTCATACAATAATCATACGAAAGTAAATCCAAAATCCGACTGTACATGAAAACAATCTAAAGAAAAACAATAAAATAGACCAATTTGTATATTATATATAATTCATTGAATACTACGCCTGCGATCAACGATTAACACTTTAAATAAAAGTGTGGCTGGATGAGAGTATGACCATACGACACACTACCAAAAGGATGGGTAATCAAGCCCTAACGCTCACGAAAATTGAAGGCAAGAAAACCTTTTTTTTTTTCTTTTTCATATCGCACTTTTTGGAAATACATTGCACAGCCTTGGCTTTGCTAGAATTAATATCATCGTTTATAAAAGTGGAAAATCTTCAAATCCATGTTTTAGAAAAGGCATAATTATGCATCGATATTTCAAGGGCGGTAGATTGGAACTCGTACGTGAACTTCATTTCAACTTACCTCGTCGTGCATTGCCATAGCAAAAAGCCAAGACCGATTTCTAATTCTTAAACGTACCTCGAAAGTCCTTGGAAAGTTGAAGTTGTGGCTGAACGATTACACATGAACGAAACAAATAAGGAAAAGATAAGGATCCGTCGCCGATGTAGTATGTTTATTTTATTTTTTCATAACTTCTCTCGTTTATTTTAAGTAGTCGCTAAAATTGTTGTTGATTTGGCATTTTTCCGCTCAGTGGATTAGCATACAAGTTATTAAAATGAGAAAATTAATCCATATTCTGCATGCGCTGTTAGAAAACAAGAATGGAATGATTCCATAACCAAGAAGTCGCGCGTCTGAAACTTGGGCGTTGTTGCTTTCATGATCCAAGATTTTTTTCGTTATTTTTTTTTTTATTATTAGTAGGGATTTATGCAGAGCTGGCGGTAATGTAATTACTGTAATGAAATTACAGTAATTTAATTACTTGTTCCAGTAATTAGTAATGTAATTCATTACTTTTTGTAGCAGGTAATTTAGTAATGTAATGAATTACTCCAGCGACGGTAACTGTAATTAAATTACCTAATTACTTTTTCGCACCAGGCATATTTTTGTGTCCACAATACACAAGAGCGCTTTTCTTTTTATTTAACTTTTTCTTTTTCCTCTACACCTTTCCAAAAAACGCTCTTCGGCCGCCGCTATGTTGCTGATGCTAATGCGGCTGGTGCGACTCTCGCGCCCGCTATCAGCTAGACATTTTCTGCCACTCTCTTGAACTGTGAAAACCCGCTCAGCGCGATTCTCTACCTATGTTTCGCGGTTTTGCATTCGACGTTTTCTGGCCCCTCTTGAAAGTTTCCGCTTACTTTTTCTGATGCATGCTGCGTACCCTCTCTGTGTTATCTTCCACTGTGAGAAATAGGGCTGGTAAGTGCTTGCCATTCGAGCTTTTCTGTTTGACATTCTAGGGAAACGAAGGAGGGGAAGTAGGTCGAACTAAGGCCCCTGGTGGAACGACCTCGACGCGATTTTGCGAACAATGACAATTGTTCTCCCCCCACCCAGAGATAATCCTCGTAGGATCCTCAGTCATCTCCGAAAATAGTTGTCCGGGTTGGGGTGGGAAACGGTTCAGTCGCGTGCGTTCCCCAGTCCATCGGTAAACATGCAAAAAAAAAAAATGGGTTGTGTGTGTGTTTATACAGCCTAGAACTTGGTCTGCCTCACAGGGGCGACGAGTCTCCCAGCTGTAGATCAGAAATTTAGCCAGTGCGGTACAGCCGCTAGCCTGGGGTCTTTAACGTGCATTACGTATAGTGATACACGACCGCATGCCGGCACGATGCTCATCCAGATCGAAACGGGCAGGGGTGGGCCTCGAACCCAGGATCCCTGGGTTCTGCAGCGCGAGCTTTCGCTCCACGTGCTCCGAGCTGGTGTGCGCTAGACCACTCGGCCACCGATCCCCCCGGTAAACATGCAACAGAGAGTTCTAGCTGTGTGCCATGAACTGTGTAAATAATGTAAATAAAGTTATCTGTAAAAGGAAGTTATCAATAGCTCCTTTATATTTAAAAGTATACGAAAGTAATGCAAAAGTAATTTGTAATGGTAATTAATTATTTTCTGGCTGTGGTAATTTGTAATGTAATTTAATTACATTTCAGCAATTTTCAGCAAAGTAATTAGTAATGTAATTTAATTACAGAATATGAGTAATTTGGCCAGCTCTGGATTTATGTGTGGTCTGGGTTGGCAAACGTAGGGACATGCAGGGTTTTTCGGGGGTGGCTGTAGGAATTTTCGTAAAACACAATTAGAAACGCTGGTTGGAGTTGGATCCAATAACGTTGGCACTGGCTTAGGGTTATGACATCAAACCACTTTGCTGGTAGCGCTCATTTTTCTTTATTTTTTGGTCTGGGGCACACAAAAAAACATCTATCAGTAAAAGCTCTTATCATTGACGGTGCTGCGAGATAATTTTTGTTATAGGCTATTATTTATACTTTCCCTGTGAGCGCGTGCCGTCAGCATCTGAGCAAGCTCATACGCGAGCCCGTTCAACATCTTGTGCCGCAGTGCGCCGCGTTTCCTGTTGTGCGCGACACAACGTTGGTGCTGTCACCGTGATTACCATCGAGTCATCCGCCGTTTTCGCCGTGCATGGTAGGACGCCTGACGCCGATGCGTCGTTTTCGACTTTTGAACCGGGAGCGACAATTAACGAGTCCTCACCCTCTTTGTGGTTTTATGGTCGATGACGTTTAAGTAAAGATTGTTTTGTGTTTGTAACCGATGTGGGATTTGTCAAGTTTACCCCTGAAAGTCCTCATTGAGGTAGATATCCACTCCGTAGTCCGCTTTTTACGCGGCTACGGCCGGGTCCGTCCACTGACTGCCTTATTGGGGCACCGATGGACGAGAGACAACACCAACACAGTGAATCTGTTTTCGACGTGTTTATTGACTCACATGCCAACACGCTTCGCTCTTTGACAGGAAATGTCTGGGCACTGGCTCAATTGCCAGTATCAACCGGTCGGTTTCCCGCACTGCCGCAATAGGCAGATTCACGGGAAGTCGGAGGCCCACAAAGAATAACCGAGCTCCGTAGAGCCAGTGCCTCCGCCGATGAGAAATGAGAGCCCCCGGCCCTCCTCGGGAGCAGCTTTTGTAGCCTCGGAGATATGGACGCGCCCGGGGAGGCCGGTAGTAGTCGCGTCCACTATCACTCTGAAGGGTGCGCCGGCGGCACTTCACCCTACCTGGGCGAGGGAGAGCCGTCCCCTTCGGGAGAATACAGCCTAGGTTCCTCGTATCCGGCTAGCCGCCGCCATTGGTGACGACTTGCGTGGCCTGCTTGATGCGAAGTCTAGATAGGGATATAGTTAACCCCATGGCACCCACACTGAAGAGAAAGCGCTCAGGGGCGACCCTCTTTGCCACCGAGGACGCCACCCTTCAGCAGCCAGCATTTTCCATGATCACCTGGTTCACCAAACATGAATAACCCTTTTGACGAACTTACACAAACCGGGCGAGATCTGGTGAAAGAGTAAAGGTCCTTTAATGGCAAATCATCAAAGAAAGCTCAACCACCTGCATGCTCAGCTCACGAAAAATGCCTAAAGGAAAAAAAAAACGATTTCGAGTTACCTCAACTTGAGTAGTTTTGACCACGCAGCACTATTCGAATCCCCTTGTCACAATACAAAAATATGTAAATGCCTATCAACATTGACTATTGTAGTGAACTTGCTGCTGAGCGCGTTCCTCCTGCAGCATACGTTTCGCACTTCCGTATTCCTTATCGTCGGCAAGAACGAGTAAAAATGAACACCAGCATAACGAAATCATGCCACGTACAGTAATGGGAATGTGTAAATGTTTACCTCAACAGGTATCATGGGTGGAGCTTCATGTCCTCAAGAAGTGGTGAATAACGCAATGACAACATTCAACATGCAACAGTTCCAAGTAAGTTTGCGCGTATATCTACGCGGACACCGTCAGTCAACTTTTTGTTTCTTCAAGTTACTACGACGCTAAACACGGCTGAGACAACATTTCAGACTCTCTATGGTACCACGGAGACGAGTCCGACTGTGACCTGTACAGACCGTGCTGAATCGACGGAGCAGTGGATCGAAACAGGGGGAAAGCCCCTGGATCACACAGAGGTCAGTGGACGTGGTCTTCATGGTGGACATTGGGGACTTTGAACAAACCGTTACCGCGTTCCTCGTGCCGCACCACCGGAGCCTTCGAAGCATGCTTTTAAGCGCGCGCCCCGCAGTCATAGTATCGCCCGACGTGCGCTTAAAGGCATACTTCAATGGCACCGGTGCTACAGTACCAGGAACACGGTAACGGTTGGCTAAAAGTCCCTATAGGGGACTTATAGCAATCAGTTTCCTTGTTCTACTGTCTTTTGCTAAAAAGTTCGCATTCATATACATTTGGTTACTTCACTTAACTTTTCCGTAATCATCTGCGACAATATGTTTACGATGCTATGATAAACAAATAACTTTTTTATAGAGCGCAGCTCTTAGGCGCCCGTTTCCGGCTTGAGCGGTGTCACCGTCGGCGTAACCGCTCGTTCCATTATAAAACGTTCCCATAATGACGTCACACGTGACGACACGTGTAACGTCACGAGGGTCTCGAGTGACATCACGTATGACGTCACCCTCGTGAGTCACACGGAGCCTAAATTAAACGAAAATATTTCCCCGCTAAATTTAGCGAAAAATTCTCCGCTAAATTTAGCGGGAAAATTTCCCCGCTAAATTTTGCGAAAAACAATTTACCCGCGAAAGTTAGCAGACAAAATTTTCGCCCTAAATTTGGTGAAAAAAATTCACTGCTAAATTTAACGGAAAAAGTTTCCCGCTAAATTTAGCAGAAAAATATTCCCTATAAATATAGCGGAAAAATTCCCCCGCTTAATTTAACGGAAAAAATTCTCCGCTTAATCTTGTTAAAAATTTACCCGTTAAATTTACTGGAAAATTTTCCCCACTAAATTTGCTAAAGAATTTCCCGCTACATTTAGCGGGAAAATTTTTTCCGCCAATTTTAGCGGACAAATTTTCCCACCAAATTTAGTGGACAAATTGTTTCGCTACATTTAGCGGGAAATTTAGCGAAAATTTCCCGCTAAATGGGAGGGGAGCAGAGGAGGAGGAGGTCAGGTGGGAGGAGGGGCGTACCCTCCCCTCCGTTCTCTCCCCTCCTCCTCCACAAGAGCTGCGCCCTAATTCGGCATTACAGATAATTGTAAACATCTTTCATTTTTTGTTTATTATCTTAGTGATGATACTATGGTGATATTCCCCCAAGAATGTCGCGCTACTGATCGCGTCATTTCTGTGGCGTAGCCACACCAATCGGCCTAAGTAATTTTTTTTTAAATATATCTTTCCACTGAAGATTCAGCATATTAGTTCTGGAACTGACACGATCGATCGTCAGGCATGAAATATCTGACATCGTGATTTTTCCTTCCAATGATACACGTTATTGTTTTTGGACTTGTCACGTTTCAACCAAACCCGCACGACCACTGTAAAGTCAAGAAAAGCTTTACGGAAGACATGAAAGTTTATCAATGTTCAGACTCTCTTTTGACAATACGTGAATGGATGAAAATGTACTCTCCCGAGAAAATCGGCGTAAACTTGAATAAAAACGCGGACTCGCAGTTTAAAACAATGTCTTAACGCGGCAGACGTTCATGTCTTGGGGAAACATAATCTACAGTGCGAAGACACTTGTAGTATAAGTGAGTCGATATATCTGCGTCGATGTCGACTCACAGTGTCTCAAATTAGACGATCGGTCGGAGGAAAGCTCTATGGGATCAAGTTAGGTCATGAGGCAACTTGGCGCTTCTTGGACTTTTTGAATAAAGAGTTATAAAACACGCTACGTGTGTCTGTGTCTTATACAAATCTGCAGAGTCTAATGAAAAGACTCAATGCAGAGTAAAGAACATGGTCACATAAACTTTTAATTTTTGTTTCTTTTCAAAATTACCTGCCCTAGCCCCAATAAGAGAGGAATCGTAGCCTCTTCATTTTCACAAAGTAGTGGAGATTAGGCGCACGTTCTTTTCTCAAAATCTTCTCGATGGTCCAGGCCTTGTTTTTCGGGGATGGAAACACGTTGCAACAATGTGACCAGCGTCATGTGATATCTGGATCGCTGCGCGGTAATGTCTTATAAAAATATTCTTTATCCTAACTGGATTCGAAGTTAGAGAGTCTAGATTACTAGGCGATGATGATACCAACTGAGACAGGAGTTATACATATTAAGTGAAGAGAGCATTTCATATGATCGCTTTCGCGCGCACACAATCTAAATCTGGGGCTTTTAGGCGCATGACTTGTCAGCTCCGTCCATAGATGGCGCACGTCTTTGATTCTAAACGTCATTGTTTATAGGGTATGAGCTACATCTGGCGGCGTGTGTGAGTGATGTTGTGTCATTTCATGCTGAAAAGTTCGTATTCCTAAGGCGTGCTCGTCCGTATTTTCGCGCGCAATTCAAGTCCGGGCTTTGTGCGTGTGAGCTGCCGATTTCCGTTTGTAGATGGCGCGCACCTGAATCCCTTAGATGGCGTGAACTTTTAGCATTATCTTTAATCGCGTGACATGTCTCGATGATTTTAGCGTCAACTCTCGCGCGTTAGCGTCATCTCTCTGCTAAGGAAAGAAATGGCACGGAGCGTGGACCGCATCTATGCGATAACGACAAGACAGATATGGTGGTTCATTTTCTTTTATTTTCGTTTGCTCTACGCTACAAAAAAAAAACCATTGGAAGCACTTTACAAAAAAAAATGTACAACACAAGATGTTTTCAAAACACATCAGAGAAAAAAAAAGTTTTAAAAATGACATCTCGCGAGCAACGCGATACAGTTCAAAATATTTACAAGGCATGCGATGAGAAGAGAGATCGCTTCCGTACACTATCAGACCATACAGAATGCACATGAACATAAGACATTTTCGATACCATCACTTAGACTGAAATGAGAAAAAAAAAATCACGTCACGAAGCTGTACATCACCTTGCCTCTCCTTAGGTAGAGCGTGTCAAAAGTCTCCAATGTTCAAAAGGAAGAGTTCCAACGTCGCCATCGTAAGTTTGAAATAATCGTGGGCTCTAATTTTCGAGACGCGGTGTGATCTCAATACAAAGTCCATCGTGTTTACATTTTACCGGTATTGTTCGCGGGATCCATTTTCGCGAATTGAAGGCTATTTGCGACAATTCGCGAAACAAAATAGGTCGTCGCATATTAAGTCGTTGACAGTAAACGAGGTTCTCCATGGTCGAAGAATATCGCGCGATGCGAGACCGTCCAGTCTAAACATGTCTGGAAATGTCTCGACAGCCCGAAATGTGATCGTCTCTTTTTGTCTTTTTCATGTGTAATTCAATACTCTGTTTTGAGGCTAGCGTCACTCACTTTTTTTTCTCTCTCGTTTTTTTTTTCTTTTTAGAAATAAAGATTAGTTACGCACTTGCTTATTTCACAACGAGTCGTCATTTTCTTGTAAGTGTTTTGATATAAAGGTCCGAGTGAATCGTCGCCTCTTTACTGATTTCGCTCCAAAAGAAAAGGTAATGCTAGAATAAGCTTTGGAGGCCCGATGTATACTAATGTGTTTATTTTCAGACAACCACGTCACCTCGAGCCACCGTCACCCCCTCCGGTCAACTTAGAATTGACTGGATCCTGAACAAGCTGTCTTCACTGCAATCGTCGTCATCATCTGAGTTGCTGAGCATTGGCTCCATCCCGTGCAACGTCAAGCTACCAGTGCTGGAGGTGAGTCGAGTGGATACGCGCCACAGGCCATTCATGTATCTGTGTTACTCTCCAGTTGGAGAACGGGGTGATAAAAGTATGTTTACCGAAGCCATTCGCCGAACTGACCAAGAAAGACATCATAGCCTTCTTGCACATCAAGGTGAGCAGACTAAACGCCTAGCGTTCTCCTCGCTAATAGGATTTCGTGTTTCGATATCTGAAAAGGTCCCCTACACGATTCGGATCATCTAGCCACTTCGTCACCTGTTCGTCGGATATCTGCAAATATCGTCTAGCCAGCTCATCCCCATCATGGTTACCTGTCACCTGTGCTCTCCCGACGACCGACAACATTATTCTAATGCAGAATCGCTACAAGTTCACTTAGCCTTGGTTCACAATGTGACTCCCTCGCCATGCATTCCGTTTTACGAAAGAGTGTGTGCTCTTCATAATTATGTGGCTCAGTATGAGTTACACTTACACCAAAGAGGCACAGAGGCGTGCGACGTGCCAACATTTTTTAGGCATCATACAAAGCATATGTCAAACGTGCTCAGATATTTTGTTCTGCCTCTGCGTTTTTTTGTAACACTCACTGTCGAGCTCGGACGTCTCTTTCCTGATGACGAGATTGATGTGACTGTGCACTTTTTCATAGTCAGGTTCAAACCGAATTTTTAGACGGTAATTTCTGAAGTTCGATTCAACGAGTCTGCACTGAAATAGCTGCCCGGTTGGAACATTGTCAGGAACAAGGCTCGGGATTCTTTCTTGTCGGAATCAAAGTTTGTACTATTAGTTTGGGACGATTCCGTCCTCCGACCGTCGGTTGCGGAACTTTTTCTCTGCCGAAGCCACTTGCCTCAAAGCAATGCCTCGTTAATGTCAGTGAACGTCTTCACGAATATGAACGGGACATATGCTTCGGGTTTGCGGTGCTCGCCGTTCTGTATCCTGCGAACAGGACTTACAGAGGAAGAGAATCCTCGTATCATGAACATATGTGCAAGTATGTGTTTCCGAAAACGTTCCCTGTGGCTTTTCCACAGAATGTGGAGGCCTTTGAGCGGAACAATTGTGTTTCACTGAACATGTTTGGTTATGACAGTGAGAAAAACTTTGTCTACCCAATGCAGGTAATTGACATCGAGTTGGAGCAGCATGTCGATCTCCTCCTTGTTGAGAACCACTTTGTGGGCATTACGAACTTTGCGAGACTTTTTTCAAATGCCAACATCCTACGCTTTCGTTGTAAAAGGTGTCTGACTGCGTCTAAGAGGCAAGAAACCCTATCTGACCATCTTTCAATGTGTGGGGATGGTTTGGGAAGCCGGGCAAAACCGTCTTCCCAAACAAGGGTGACGAACTGTACTTTCGGAGCAAGCATGTCATGGAAGAGTTTCTTTTTTATTGCTTTAACGGCTTTGAAGCGATTCTGCAACCGACTCATTCGACGGGAAATGTTTACGAGAATCGCGTCCCCAGTTCTTTCTGCCTTCTCGTCATCCGCTCAAAAAACTCGTCCATTGTTGAGGAATACCTCTATCGTGGACCCGACTGCGTAGAAAGATTCATTTTGATTCTCAACTTTCTAGCGAAGAAAATACCCCGATTGATTAGGTCGAGTGAAGTGCCTCTTGAAATGACTCGAGAAAACGAGGATTTCCACGCGGAGTCTTCCCGCTGTGGCATTTGCTACAAAAGCTTTAGCAAGAAAATAAAAACTCGCGACCACGACCATATGATCGGAGAGTATAGGCGGGCACTTTGCTCCCAGTGTAACCTGAATCATCGAATCAACAAACATACCGTTCCACTCATAGCGGATAACCATTCTTACGACCTTAGTTTCTTTCTAGGAAAACCTAATTTGTTCGAGCCCAAGGATATTAACGTACTCGGAAGCTCATGCCAGAATTTTAAACTGTTAGAGATAGGTAACCTTCGTGTATTGACAGCCTCGCATTTCTTAATGCAAGCCTGGAGACGCTTGTGCAAAATCTCCATTCTAAGGGCACAGAGCATTTTTGTTGTCTACGGCAGTCCCTTCCCGAGCACGTCGACCTCCTTGTCCGCAAAGGAGTGTTTTGTTAAAATTTCATCACAAGCTTTGAGAGTTATGAGGGGCAAAGCCTTCCGCTAATAGAGTCCTTTTTTAACAAGTTGACTGGGAGCGGAGTGTGTGAAGAGGACTACAAACATGCACAGGTCGTTTTCGATACCTTTACTTTGAAGAACCTTGAAGAATACAGCGACCTTTAACTAAAGACGGATTTTCTCCTCCTGGCCGATGTTTTCCAGAACTTTATACGGTGGACTCTTGAAGCGTACGAAATTGAGGCTTTACATTTCGTGTCATTACCATCCCTAAGCTTGTCGTGTGCGCTGAAACAGTCGAAAGTTAGACTGCAGCTAATTGACGATCCTGACACCTATCTTATGATAGAACAGGGTATTCGCGGAGGGATTACCCAATGCCTGACCCGCCATGCTCTCGCAAATGTTCCGGGAACGGATACGTTTAACCCGCTGGAGGAGCCGTCTTAGGTTTTGGATTTGGACGTAAACGGGCTGTATGCGTCGACAATAAGAAAAGCTCTGCCAGTGTCGGACTTTGAGTGAATGACGGAAGACGAGATTGCCTGCCTGAACATTGATGAGGTTCCAGATGACGCACCGATGGAATACATTCTCGAGGTAGACCTCATGCAGCTATCCTCACGACTTGCACGATAGTCATTCTGACTTTCCCTTGGCCCCGGTGAAACAAAGCGTTCCCTACGAGTGGTCATCCAACTATCAAAAAAGTCTGATTGACAAGTTTAAAATGCCCAAAGAGGAATCTACTAAGAAGCTGTTGCTGACACTTCACGACAAAACGAAATACGTTTTGCATTACCGGAGTTTGAAACTGTACACCCAATTAGGACTAGAGGTGACCAAGATTCACTGAGTCCTCAAATTCTCGCAACGAGCGTTCTTGAAGGAGTTTATTGATTTTAACCACCAGCTGAGATGCAAGCAACCAACTCCTTCCAGAAGAATCTTTCCAAACTGTTCATGAACAGCATATATGGCAAAACGATCAAAAATGCGCGCAAACATGGACACATTAAACTGTGCGTTAAAGAGGGTGACATACTGGGAATGCTTCAGAAGCCGAACCTGACGCAGTTTCGAGCACTTAGCTCGCAGGTTGTAATTTTCCAGTTTGTTCCGCGAGTGATCAAACTCAAGCAACCACTCTACGCATTGTTCTCTATTCTTGAGATTACAAAAACAGTAATGTACGACTTCTTTTATAATCAACTTCGTCGTGCGATCCTTTTAGCGAGAGCTCATTACTGCGACGCGGATTCGTTCTTCCTAAACCTTCACGGATCAGATATAGACGACAAACTGCTCCATCTCCGAGACGCATGCCTGGATACATCTGGATATCCAGAGAGTCACAAAATCTTTTCAACCATAAACAAAATGAAGCTTGGCGTGTTAAAAAACGAATATCTGTCTACCCACTTACAGGCTTTTTGTTGCTTAAAACCAAAGCTATACAGCTTAAAAACAAGCAGCAACATATGTTGCGTAAGAACCAAGGGAGTAAAAAAATGTGAGTCCCGCAAGTTGACCTACGAGTTGTACACGCACGCTCTTGATACGAAAACTTTGCATAGATTGACGCAGCACTTAATTGCTCGAAACCTTAACGAGAACAAAAGCCTCTCGGTCGAGAAGATTGCTTTGAATCCGTTTGACGACAAGCGATACATTTGCAACGACGGGATTACGACCTTTCCTTTTAGCCATAAGAACGTTTTCGGAAGCGAGTGATCTCTTTCCTAATTACAAGACCTGGCCCTGTAAATATCTTGGACAGTATCGTCTTGCTCGCGAGATGTCATTTCCCAACCTTTTTGCCGCCGGTGTGTCTTGAAACTTCTTGTGTTGTACATTTTTCTGTAAAGTGTTTCAAATGGTTTCATTGTTTCGTAGAGCAAACGAAAATAAAAGAAAATGAACCACCATATCCGTGTTGTCTTTATCGCATAGGTGCGGCCCACGCTCTGTGCCATTTTTATTCCTAGCAGACAGATGACGCTAAAATTAGTGAGAGATGATGTGTGCACGAGAGTTGACGCTAAAATTATCGAGAGGTGTCACGCGACTAAAGATAATGCTAAAAGTTCACGGCGTATAAGGGATTCAGGTCCGGGCCATCTACGAACGGAAATCTGCAACTCACACGCACAAAGCCCGGACTTGAATTGCCCGCGAAAGTACGGACCAGCACGCCCCAGGAATACAAACTTTTCGGCATCAGATGACACAACATCACTCACACACGCCGCCAGATGTAGCTCATACCCTAAAAACAAAGACGCCTAGCATCAAAAACGTGCGCCATCTATGAACGGAGTTGACAACTCATGCGCCTAAAAGCCACAGATTTAAATTGTGAACGCGCGAAAGCGATCGTATGAAATTCTATCTTCACTTAATATGTAGAACTCCTGCCTCAGTTGGTGTCATCATCACCTAGTAATCTCGACTCTCTGACTTCGAATCCGGTTAGAATAACGAATATTTTTATAAGACATTACCGCGCAGCGATCCAAATATCACATGACGCTGGTCACATCATTGCAACGTGTTTCCAACCCCCCCAAAACCAGGCCTGGATCATCGAGAAGATTTTGAGAAAACAACGTGCGCCTAATCTCCACTACCTTGTGAAAATGAAGAGGCTACGATTCCTCTCTTATTGGGGCTAGGGCAGGTAATTTTGAAAAGAAACAAAAATTAAAAGTTTATGTGACCATGTTCTTTACACTGCATTGAGTCTTTTCATTAGACTCTGCAGATTTGTATAAGACACAGACACACGTAGCGCGTTTTATAACTCTTTATTCAAAAAGTCCATCAAGCGCCAAGTTGCCTCATGACCTAACTTGATCCCATAGGGCTTTCCTCCGACCGATCGTCTAATTTGAGACACACTGAGTGGACATCGATGCCGTTATATCGACTCACTTATTTTACAAGTGTCTTCGCATTGTAGATTATGTTTCCCCAAGACATGAACGTCTGCCTCGTTAACTTAAGACATTGTTTTAGGTTGCGAGTCTGCGTTTGTTATTCAAGTTTACGCCGATTTTC